CTGTTGCAAAATTGCCACCCGCAGGTCTGTCATTGAATGACCAGACAGGTTGAAGTGTTCTCCTACTGGTTTTTGAATGTTATGATTCCTGATGTCAGATTTGTGTCCATTAATTCTTTTGCGTAGAGACTGTCCAGTTTGGCCAATGTACATGGCAGAGGGGCATTGCTGGCACATGATGGCATATATCACATTGGTAGATGTGCAGGTGAACGAGCCCCTGATGGCGTGGCTGATGTGATTAGGTCCTCTGATGATGTCACTTGAATAGATTTGAGGACAGAATTGGCATCGGGCATTGTTGAAAGGATAGGTTCCTGGGTCAGTGTTTTTGTTCAGTGGTGTGTGGTTGCTGGTGAGTATTTGCTTCAGGTTGGGGGGTTGTCTGTAAGCGAGGACAGGTCTGTCTCCCAAGATCAGATTCTACCATATCCTCTGGTAATTTGGTTACCCTCACCGTTAAAAACTGCCCAGTATTGCTGTATTCTGGTATATTCTTTGTCCAGCTGAGGCCCAGAAATATAAAGGATATCTGGGTGATGGGTGCAGGATACTTACTTAATTTGGAAAGGAATGGAAAAATGATCACTCACCTAGCGCAGACTTGACAGATATTTTGGGTTTGAGTTTTGGATGAAAGGTTTTCAGCCTCTACAGATTGGTTTGTCTGTTCTTAGAATTATGCTTGAGCCCCAAAAATCTGGACCCAAATCCAGATTTGAGTTTTCCCACAATTTAAAGGAATTTGAATTCAGGGTTTTGGTTTGGTCCATTATAGGATGGAGGGGACAGTTCTCCCCTGCATCCCACCTCCACTTGGTACGGGGTGAGGGGAGAATCAAGGAGCTGGCTGCAGGGCCGGCTTTAGGAAGTGCGGGGCCCGATTCGAACAGTTTCGACGGGACCCCGACAGAGATGACTAAAAAAAAAAAAAACCACGTTAAAAAAAACACGTGGGGCTTGTACTCACCGGGCTGCGCTCCTAGTCTTTGGCAGCGGGTCCTTCAAGGAGGACCTGAAGGACCCGCCGCCAAAGTGCCGCCAAAGACCCGGAGCGAGTGAAGGACCCGCTGCCAAAGACCTGGAGCGCCGCCGGGTGAGTAAAAATTAAAAAGGTGCCTCTAGCCAGGGAAGGGATTCTCTGCCACTTGCCCCCCACTCTGGGCGACCCTGCCACTGGACGCGGGGCCCTCTTAAGCGCGGGGCCCGATTCGGGGGAATTGGTGGAATTGGCCTAAAGCCGGCCCTGGCTGGCTGTAACTTCCTAGTTTTGTATCGACCATGCCCTACCATCAGATAAAGCAGCCTAGGGCCTATTCTAACTTTTGCCACTGGCATAAGGTCCCACATCACTGGACGATTGGCGTAGTAAAGATCTGCTCTGACCCTTCCCCTCCATCTCCCCAACATGCCCCCTGTACCGGGTGGGGGAGGAGGGTGGGCAGCTGGGATTGAGTCACCAGAGCATTCTTCTCTGCCGGGGAAATTCTCTCCCACCCATTTATGCCCAGAATCTGACCCACTTCTACTGCCTGAGTGTCCCAAAGGGGCCAGAACATTCCAGAGAGTCTGGCCCAAAGTTCAGCTCTGGATCCAAACTTCCCCAAAGTTCTAAACTGCCTGGATTGGGGCAATTTAATTTGGGCCCATCTCTAATTTTTTGTCCTCTTTTTGCATGCAAGCTTGTATAGTAACACTGGGAAAAAACAACAGAGCCCCTCCAATCCTTGCAG